ACGTGCGTGTATTCATAGGTACATAAATATTTATGAGACGGAGAGATCGATAAAATGGGATGCGGTATTGGTAGCCGATACTTGAACCCGATATAATGCGCCTCAATTTGTACAACTATAAAAGCATAAATGGTTATCGAGCTTCTCCTATTCTCTTGTTAAGAACTTGACCGTAAAAAGGGCTCGTTGAACATTTCTTTTGTATTCGTAAAGAAAGTGGATGAAAATTCCATTGTACGCTGTTAGAAGTTCGCGCCAAGCAGGTACGTTTCTGTTTTGTTTTCGGTATTAACGCTAAACAGAAAAACGACACGAGTTTAAGGGGACGTTCCAGTCTAGAGTTAAATTTTTTCCAACTTTTCAGGGACTTTTATTTTAAAAAATTGTAAACATTCGTAAAACATCGATAAATATGTGTACGCAAAATGTCGAAATCGAGGGACATTTGCTTTTCTTTTTGTCGTGAAAAGAAAAAGAATTTGTAAAAGGGCGAGTTTGCAAAGGGAAAACACAGAGCGTGTAATGTCGGTGTGGCGTCGCCCCCCATGCTCGCCACCAGAGGGCGAGCGCTCTCACAAGCGCTCGACCGACCTCTCGGTTGCTATATACCCAATCTTCAAACATCCACAACTTCTATAATAGTGAATGTATTCCATTGAAATTTAGTATGGAGATAGAGCTCATGGATACCTACAAAAAAGTACTAAACAAAATTTCCGTAGGACGTCAAAGAAATTTATTAAAAATGGAAAACGAAATTTTAAGAAAAATCGACAGGGCTCCTATAATAGTGAGTGTATTTCATTGAAACTTTTTTCTGAAGTAGAGCTCACGGGTACCTACAAAAAAGTATTAGACAACTTTTCTGTACAGCGACAAACAAATTTATTAAAAATGAAAAACTAATTTTTAAGAAAAATCGACAGGGCTCCTATAATAGTGAGTGTATTTCATTGAAACTTTTTTCTGAAGTAGAGCTAATGAGTACCTACAACAAAGTGTTAGACAACTTTTCTGTACAGCGTCACACAAATTTATTAAAAATGGAAAACGAATTTTTAAGAAAAATCGACAGGGTAAGGTGCCTAAATTTTTCAGGGAAAATGAAAGGTTTCAAATCATTCCGAAAAAATTATTTTCGGTTGCGGGGGTCAATTACAATCATTTTTGGTGAATAAACATATCCCCAAAACCCTAACCATTTTCGAGAAAAAAATTCGAGAAGGTGTGAAGTTTTTCGTCAAAATTCAAAAGTTATGAATCGTTCTGGAAAAATTATTTTCGGTTGCTGGGGTCAATTACAATCATTTTTGGTGAATAGACATACCCCCGAAATCCTACCCACTTTCGAGAAAAAAATTTGAGCAGATGCTGAAATTTTTCGGCAAAAAAAAATTTTTCAAATCGTTCAAGAAAAATTATTTTCGGTTGCAGAGGTGGATTGGAAACATTTTTGGTCATTACACTTACCCCCGAAATCCCTCACATTTTCGAGAAAAAAATTCTTGATCGAAAATCTAATGTGAAATGCACCCCCGAAATTTCATGCGAATCTTTAAAATATCATAACTTCTAAACGGATTGAGGGATTTTAATGTTTCAAAAAGCAAACAACGCGTATTTTCGTGAGGAATATGTAGAAATTCTAAAAATATTCAAAAAGTTGTTCCTTGATCCCGCAAAATAAGAAAAACTCCATAAAAATGGTCCAATTTTCAAAAGGCCATAACTCTTACAATAGTGAACGTATCTCATTGAGACTTTTTTTTAGAGTAGAGCTCATAAGTATCTACAAAAAAGTATTAGACAACTTTTCTGTAGGATGTCAAATAAAATTGCTAAAAATGAAAAACGAATTTATAAGAAAAATCGACAGGGAAAATGAAAGGTTTCAAATCATTCTGGAAAAATTATTTTCGGTTGCTGGTGTCAATTACAATCATTTTTGGTGAATAAACATACCCCCAAAACCCTAACCATTTTCGAGAAAAAAATTCGGGAAGGTGTGAAGTTTTTCGTCAAAATTCAAAAGTTTTGAATCGTTCTGGAAAAATTATTTTCGGTTGCTGGGGTCAATTACAATCATTTTTGGTGAATAGACATACCCCCAAAATCCTGCGCATTTTCGAGAAAAAAATTCAGTACGGGCGTAAAAATTTAGTAGAATTCTCATGTTTTATTGAAAGAATATTGGCTGAACCGCTAGGTGTACGATTTTAAGCGATAGTCAGTCACTTTATGTAGATTCCTTTTCTTCGGTTACCGACTACGACGGTCGACAAAAAACACAGGCGACCCGGAGGCTCAATGATATCGGTGTGTACAAACATTTGCTGCCGGTGTCGAAATTTGCCTTAGCTGTTCGAAAACTGAACCTCGCGATGATGTTTGTTTTAAGAATCATTACTGTAAATGCTACGTACGAGTTCCTTCGACGACTTTTGCTCGATTTCAACACCGTGAACGCACGATGGTTTTGTCCGCAATTTTCTTAAAGACTCTCGAGTCTCCTCGAGGTACGTGAGATAATACGTTTTTAAAGTTCGTCTCGATGACCTTCGGTTGCGTGATAAAGACGTGATTCGCAACGCATGGAAGAGTCAATGAGATGTTATCGACTAATATCCCGAATGCTACGCGCAATGTTTGCCCAGAACTGGAGTAAATCGCCGACAGTAGTCCGTCCGTATCTATAGTCACGTTGGAATAATCTATGAAACGTTAAACAAATTTTTTTATCGTCTGACATAATTGCGGTATGAATTAACCGATCAGCTGCTACTATCGTCGTTGCTACTTGTGGCGTCGCCTCCCATGCTCGCCACCAGAGGGTTCGCGCTCTCACAAGCGCTCTCACGACCCCTCGGTTGCTATATATACACTCCTCGAACGACTTCCCAATATCCCAGTCGTCTAAGGCAGGGCCTGCTAGAAAGCCTTACTGACGAGTCCACTGGCAGGCCCGGACGAAACGCCGCCCCCTCCTTTCTTTTTCACGTTTCCTACGAAATTCTCACGAGATCCTCTACACCCGCAGCGAAGCAGCGCCACATCGGAAATGGTTGTTTCTAAAAGTAGTGCTCGATGGAGGAATCGATGTGGGTTCTTTTAAATTTAGTACAGGTCATTGCGCATGAAACGCCTGATTTGTAATTCATCTACACCCTATGCATCGAGTTTGTTTTCACGTGCGTAGTTATAATGAATCGATTTAATTAAAACCGTCGAAGCTTCGTTATTATTAGACGCGAATACTAAAATCACCGAAGACGGAATCTGCTCGACGAGAAACCCTCGATTCCCCTCCATTCTTGTCAGATCGATAATAATAATCAAAACATTCATGTGTGGGGGTGTGTTCTCTACAAAAACATCCATAGAAAACAACTCGAAGTAATTAATAATTATAGTAATTAAAATATAAGATATAATTAAACCAAGACACGAATTATTATATTCAGGGGTTGAGACAACCTTCTGCGCAGCTCCCATTTCATTAATTCAATTAATAAAAATATCTCATCGAGTTTCGACGAAGGTCCAATTTCAAAATTCCAATCGCGCATTGTGCAGTTAATTCGAACGTTTGAGAAAACATATAAAATTTGACGAATCCCCCTCCCGACATAGTTATTCAATCGATTCATCATATTTAAAAAACGATGTATATTATTCAAGCGCAATAAATTTCGCAATAATCTGAAATAAACGGGAGAACGAAATACGCGTAATTTGATTTTTGAAATCAACAGGAATTTGTTTTAAATCCGTGAAAAGTGTCGATGTTGAAATATGCCATGGAAATTCAATCTCGAGAACTCTATACGCGTTTTAAAAACGATGTTTTTATCGATGTGTTTTTTTTTTGTTAATGATGATATCAGTATTGAAAGAGATGAAAAATACTATTTAAGCAAGCCCTCTTTTAAGTGATAATTTTAACTTCGGATTCAAGTAACGGAATCATCACTATTTAGCTTTTTTTTTAACACGAAGAACTCCTTCGAATCTTCACAATGTGAAAAATACAAAAAATTTCATTAAAGTTTCATTAAATTAATTCGTCAATAAGTATCAGCTTATCGTTTTATATTCTAAAGTAAATATTATAGAATATCTAACAGAAATTTGACATCATACGTTAAAGTATTTTTCTAGAAGAAATAAGTTTGGTTGAAAAACCATTAAAATATCGGAAGAGATATTTCCACAGCTATAAGAATAATTCAGTAACACAAATCTACATTTCTGCGAGAGAAATATTTGTTTCGAATTGAGTGAAAATACATAACCATAAACACGCAGAAAAAATTGCAATGATAATGTTACATTGCAATATTAATAAATGATACCTCGAATTTTAAATCAATCTAATCATTAGATTTGTCATAAAAAATTCTTGAAAAACAGGCCATTTACATAAGGTTCCCCCCTTAATATTCCCTAGAGTATAATGCGTTATGGTGAGTTCAGAGTAAACAGCGCTCAATACGCGATGTATAGAACCAATCGCGTGCCGGCTATTACAAGCCGTGGTCGCTTCTTATGCTTGGGAATACAAACTAAAAACAATCGATCGCAATGTGATATTTTTACACGATGAGAAAACGATACATTAATATCGTATAGATTAATATTTACTCGAATCAACTCACGAAGTAGCAACGATGATTTGTAAACGTAATCATGTAGAATTTAATTTACGTATTTTTATCGGAAAATAACAGGGTCGATATAAAATTTGAATTAAATTGTTTAAAATGCGAACGGACAATGGGACGCACACAAGCTAAGAGTCACTTAAATAAAAATCACTAGATGGACGCGCGCGTGTGTATTCAAAAATACATATACCCGCCTTACTACTGGTGATTCTGTGTTTGACAGTACGCGCGTATTTCGCGGCTATCATCGAATTCGGCCGACGTTAACCGACGTTTAACGAAGCTTGCCAGTTCCGTGTGTGTTGAGTGTTCGTTGGTGTTTAGTTGGTGCGCTTCGACTGGGCAAAATCGCGTAAAATGGAAACAGAATTTCGTTGTGAGGTTGAGGTTGGCCGTTGAAAAAAGTGAACATGGGAAGGTCCAAGTTTCCCGGTAAGCCGCCGAAGACGGTCACCAGGAAACGGATTAAAGTTCTCGGCCAGCCCGAGATAGTCCAAAGCGATTCGGTAACCGTCGCCGAGAACATCTACTACGGACTTTCCCTGTTCAACGAAACATTTGGTGACAACGAGAAGGTAATTCGTAGTTTACTTGTGCGAACAATATCTGATGGGGGGGGCGCTTAATTGTAATCACCTGGAAAATAATCCTTTTAAAACTTGCAAACAACCGTGGTTGTTTAATAAGCGTCATAGGGGCCCATACGGCGCCGATTCGGTGACCAGAAAATCTCCAAGATTTGGCTGTATAATGAAGGTTAACCTATTAGAAGGGAATCGCAGCCTCGGAATGGCAGATGTGTATAATATGTACTGACACACCGCTATAGTTTACAGTGTCAATGACTCGATAAAAATGCTCATTTCTGTCTTTGTTTTTATTCCGTAAACACAATTTATTTACCTTATTCTTTTCTCCCCTATTACTTTATAACAAACTGTTCAATTTTGATATATCTATTATTAGAATATATTTTCATATTATCAATATTATTATAGCAATAAAAATATTGTACGATAACGTGCTAATTTTCTGCGTACACATTTTCAAAATAAGAATCAATAACGAATAGTATTCTACGTTAATGTTTATATAAAATTTCTTTCTGTAGGAACATCCACCATTCCATGGTTTTAGCACTAAAGAGGCTAATCTGTCCGTGTCTTATATAAAAACACAACAACATGACACAGAAAATGCAACTGTTAAATCGCCATCCAATGCTGTCGAGAACCCTGTACCAAAATCGAACGAACAAAATGTCACGGATATTAAAAATTCTCTTCCAAGTACCGAAGCTACTACGGAGCAGTTATGCGATAAAAATATAGAACCGACTGAAAATATTAAGAAGGACGTTAGCGTATTAAATTCGAAATGTGCTTCTAAATTTCATAGATCCAAAACTCGTAGAAGTTGCAAAAATATTAAATTTTCCAACTTTATGAAAACGCCAGTATTAAAATCAGTGAACAATATCTTAGATCAGCATCAACGAACAAGACAACTACGTAACAGTACTGCAAAGAGATTACTGCAGAGGGCAAAATCTAATAGTAATAATGCACGCAATATGACTGCGCAATGCGGAGATAAACCAAATGCTGTGAGGAAATTTATTTTACCAGTTCGAAGCGCCCATTCGTCGAGAGTTATTAAGCCAAATAAAAGATTTATCGAAGAATTGGAAGAAATTTCTGTGACGGAACACAGCGAGAATGAAATCGGGGCTCATGTGAAAAAGGCTAAATTTACGTTAAACAAATTTTGTAATCAAGATCCAAAATTAAAGGAAGGAAATATTAGTAAATTATGTACAATATTGAAAGATAAAGAAGTAAGAAATAAAACTAGGAAAGTTATTCAGCGTGCGCATTCCAATGCCCAAACTATAATACAATCTGCGAAAAATTGTGAAAAATTAGCACCTTCCGTACAAGATGCACAGGTATCAAAAATTGTTAATACAGATGTAAAAAGAAATAATGTATCGAATAAGAACAAAGTGTTGAAATCACCATCCGATGAATCGAGTACTACTCAAGATTGTTCGCAAACTACGATTAAGAAAGCTCAAAATTTAAAATCAACCGCGTCCAAAAATCAGAAACCAATTTCTGCTCCTAAAAAAGTTCTTCCTGATTCTGATGTTCCAAGTTCAGAGTCTTCCAGGATTCAAACGAGATCGGGAACTCAAAGCGAAGTCACCGATCCGGAAATTGAAATAAATTCCGAAAATACTAACATGAAAAATCAAGATAATTCTGATAACGGAAGTAAAACTACAGAGGGAAATTCAGATAACTTTGACACGGAAAGTACATTGTCTGAAAGTGGAAGCGAACATAGTAATCATACCGAGGATGAACAGTCGGAATGGACTGGGATGAAATTGAATGGTGGAAAAGTGATTTTAAGAAAAGCGAGATTAAAATTAGATAATAAATGTGTTGGTGGAACCGAAGGACCTTTTTCAACAACAAATAATAATAACGTTACAAATGGAAACACCAACTTGGGTACGTGTCTAATATTTTTTTTAAATTTAATGTATTCTTCACGCTGTATGATAACAAAATGATTTTCTCTTCGTAATGCTTCAGGTTTAACAGGTACTATTAAATGTGGCGTTTGCGGTGCTGTACGATTTTATCGATTCGTGAAACAAGCTCGAAAATTTGGTATTCACAGTTGCGAATCTTGTCGAAAGTTTATCAGTAAGATGATTAAGCGACAAGCTTGCGCGAAATCTACAAACAGTACCCTCCCGGTTCTTCAATGCCACAAAGGAGACGGCTTATGCTTAGTTCCACCTGTTGTACGAAGTCAACAATGGAATCTCATGAGATGTGTTTATAAAGCTAGATGTCCAGCATGCTGGTTAAAAATGTGTTTGAAATGTTATAACATTCCTTCTTTGTTAAGAACAGGTTTAAATGCATTATTACCACCGATAATGAGAGACCCTCTAAGTATTCCTTTATCATTGAATCAAGAAGATAATGATAATCAAGGTCAAAAATTAATATCTTGCAAGTTAGGTTGGCCTGCGGAAGACAGTTCAGAGAAAAACTTATTTAAATCAGCAATGAGTTGGAGAAACATAGAAATGGATCAGAAAACTAGTTACCAAGGCACTGCTGGTTTTCTATACACAAAATTAGATAAATGTATGTTGACACGGTATTGATAATATTTCCATTCAACAGATCCGTTATAAACAGTTTTTTTTCATATTTCTAAATGTTTCTACAGTCGATTCATCACTGAATATATCACCTAATAAAAAGAGAAGAAAAAACAATAGGATAAAAGTGAGGAAGAAAATAAAAAATCCAGTGTTCTCCTCGCCATCTACGAATCAGTGTCCACAACCCCTTAGACAGAGACTTGAATTAAAGGGTCCAAGAGTGAAACATGTTTGTCGAAGTGCAAGCGTTGCTCTTGGTCAACCAATTGCTACTTTTCCTTCCGTAGATGGAAAAGATGATAACGAAAGCAATAAGCACATTCCGAAAACATTAAAAGAAAACGATAGGTCAGAGAAAAAGGATTACACGAAAGAGAAAGAGTCGCAAAAACATAACGATGAAAATACGGTAAATGTAACGCATCAATCTCATTTAAAAAGAGGAAAAACACAGCAAAATATGTCGACGTCGAACTTTCAAGTGGTGAGTAGCTGAACGGAAATGCATTAGTATCAATGCCCACGGTTCGATTATTATTAACATTTACGATTTAAAAAAAATCATTTCAGGTATCTAAGACAAATACCGATGTACTGCATACAGTATCTATAGATTTTTGGGAACAGTATGATCCTTCGGAGGTTGGCGCAAAAGGTTTTGCCCTTATTGGTTCAGAACTCTTCCATATTCCTGCTATTTGTTACCTTTGTGGAAGTGCTGGGAAAGAACCAGTAAGTAATGTATATATGTATATTCTTATATACAGTTGTACATTGTAGCAATCTTTCCAGCTCATCCATTGTCAATGCTGTTGCGAGCCATATCATGCCTTTTGTTTGGAACCCAGTGAATGGAATGCTTGTGCCCAACCAAATTGGTGCTGTCCTCGATGTACAATATGCCAATCCTGCCATCTAAGATCTGGTCCAAAATTGTCTTGCATTCGTTGTCGTCAATCATTTCATCACTCGTGTTTGTCAAAATCTGGTGTCAGTGCGAGACTATACAGTCCTGAAAGACCTTTTGTGTGTCAAAGTTGTGTCAAGTGTAAAAGCTGTGGTAGCGAAGGAGTTAACGTTCATGTGGGCAACTTACCATTATGCTCCATGTGTTTTAAATTACGTCAACAAGGAAATTATTGTCCTCTGTGTCAAAGGTGTTACAACGAAAATGATTTCGATACAAAGGTAGGTATACAGTTTTACTGAAAGATCATGTTTGTTCAACTTGTCGTAACAATGATTTTTTAATATTTTTAAAATAGAGTTATAAAATATATTTTTATAATATATAGAGAAATTTCACGTAATAAAAATTCTGAAATATTAATGCGTGACTTAGGCGGATTATTGTTTGATAATTTTGTATTAAATTTTTTAGATGATGGAATGTAGCGAATGTTCTTATTGGGTGCATTCCCGTTGCGAAGGACTTTCCGATGAACATTATCAAATTCTCAGTTATCTACCAGATTCTATTGAATTTACATGCAGCCAATGTTCCTCTAATCCTAATTCTATTTGGAGAAATGCTATAGAGAGTGAGCTTAAGGCTGGTTTCATAGGGGTTATTAAGGCATTAAGCAAAAACCGTAAGGCTTGCGCGGCATTAAAATGGAGTCCAAGGAAAGAGTGTTTGTGCAGACCGACTCCCAGCATAAGGAAACTAGATTTTTCGAATGAAAAGTCGGATTCGAACGTAACGAATATTAAAGAAATTCTAAACGTAGAGACGTTTGAAGAATCTAATAATGAAAAATTTAAGGACACAGAAACTGGTTCCAATGGTAATACAAAATCAGAAGCAACGAGCAAACAGAACGAAGATCAACCGACCGATTGTACTAATAGAAGAGGCTTGAGACGACTTCGACAAAAGTTTCATTTAAAAGAATGTTCCGTTCGAGTAAAAAATTGTGCTCTAAAAGATATTCAAGATAATGAGAAAAAGGATTCGATGATTCAAGAAAATTTGAACAGTAATTCGAACGATACAGAGTGTCATTGTTCGGATCAGCAAATTATTGTTAGACCCTCGCCTACGTTGATGTCGGTGAAGCGGAAAGTTAATAACAATGAATATAAAACGTTGTCACAGTTCCATTGTGATATGGAACATGTAATTAATTGTACCGCGACTAATGAACTGATCGAAGCTTATCACGAAATTTTACAAGAGGTATTCCCGTGGTTCAGTCCGAAAAATTTGAAGAGTAATAATGGTAAAAGCGATATGGTGACGCTCACCAAGGGTATTAATAAGGATGATAGTCCAAGTACAAAGCTTGGTGATTCTATATTGGAAGTATGGAAGGAAGAAGTGATGAAAGCACCGAAAACAGCAACGGCTAAAACGGCAAATTTACATAATATTAATATCGAAGACAGCAGATCCTGTTGTTTGTGTAAAGGATTAGGCGATGGTCAAGAAACAAAAGAAGGTCGCCTCTTATATTGTGGACAAAATGAATGGATTCATTCGAATTGTGCACTTTGGTCCAATGAGGTGTTTGAAGAAATCGATGGTTCTTTGCAGAATGTTCATAGTGCTATTTCAAGGGGCCGTTTAATACGTTGCTCCGAGTGCGGAAAGAAAGGGGCGAGTATTGGTTGTTGTGCAAAAAATTGCAGCAGTACCTTTCATTATCCTTGCGCGAGGAACGTTGGACTTACCTTTAACGACGATAAAACAGTATTTTGTTCTTTGCATTTAAACAACTGCTCGCATAAAACGTTACAAAATGAGAGCGAGTTTAGTTTACGAAGGCCAGTATATGTTGAATTGGATCGCAAGAAGAAAAAGTACGCGGAACCGAGTAAAGTAAAAGTTATGATAGGCTCGTTGATGATCGATTGTTTAGGTACAGTTATACCTGAGTATTCTGACGCGGTTGAGAAACTAGTACCCTGTGATTATAAGTGTTCTCGGCTATACTGGTCTACGGTAAATCCATTTAAAATCGTAAGGTATTACATTAGAACGTACGTGCAAATGTATATGCCAGAAATTTCTCCCGACTTGGAAAATAATATAACCATCGATCATTCTAAAGAGGAAAAGAAAGAAGAGATTTTAGATATTCAAAAAACAGAATATTTAGCTGTGAAACAAACGTTGGATACTTTGATCGATACAGTCTGCAATAAGGAAGTGGATGAAAACTTGGCGGAGCAAAATAACACAGATCTTTTACCTCCGGAATTGAAAGAAGCCATATTTGAAGATTTGCCGCACGATTTGTTGGATGGTATTTCCATGCAAGATATATTTCCAAAAATGACGTACGAAGATTTTTTAGCCATGGATTTAAAAAATGATGGTAGTTTTGCAACCGATCTGTTCAAGGATGACATGTTGGCATCCGAAGTGGATGAGATAATAAAACCACCTGAAAGTAAAATTTCAAAAGTGGACCCATCTTTGTTAGAGTTAGGTCCTCATAATGATCTTTGGGTTCATCTGGAAACGAAAACTTCCGTTCAAGATTTAATGGACGATTTGTTGAATTCTAAGAATCAGAAACGTGGAGGCAGAGAACTGAAAAGATCTAAATCGGAAGTAATGTCGAATAGTCCGTTGATCGTTGGTGGACAAAGACACCATCAACGATCTTGCAGTTTAACTTGGAGTTGTAAATTGGATAGTCCTTACGGTCCCACTATAAAACGAAGAAAATTGTCGAGGAACTCGAGTATGTCAAAATCCAACGAAGCGAGTGTAATGGTATTAGATTCGCAGAATGAACGTCCGCCTACTTTGCACGAGTTGAGAATCCCAGATGGTATTATGGTTACAGTGGGCAGAACAAACACACCCAACATCTTATCCGATTCAATGCGAGAATTGAAATATTGCATCGAGGATGCAAATGGTATTAATCGACGGATACTGTCCACAAACCGTGAAGAGGGCAAAGAACATAAGCGACTCTTTTGGCACGCGAGGCAACAGCCGCGAATATTACAAGTTGACGGACCCGCTGATCCAAGTAGTGCCAGTGAATGCAGTTCACCAGAGTACAATATCGAAGAGAACACCACGGAATTACGTGTACCGGAACACTTGTCGATACCACAGTTGGATGGCATCAACGACGAATCCTCTTGCGACAGTAACGAATTTATTTTACCAGCCGAGAAAGACTTTAATTCCTGTACAAAATCGTCGAACAGCATTCTACGGTCGAAACGAATATACGGATTTATCAGATCACATATTGCCAAGAGCAACGATAAACCGCATAAAATAAATTTTTTTAAAGAAAGTAATTTGAAATTGAATCTAGAAATTCCTCAGTTGGACGGCGCCGACGATATTTCCAGCGACGACGAATGTACATCGCCGCAACATATTGAGAACGAAGGACTCAATGTTACTTCTCGATGCGATGCACCATTCGATCACATAGATCGCCCGGTAACTTGTAAACGATGCCGTTGTACCTACAGAACGCAAGATAGTTACAACAGACATTTGACACATTGTGATATCATGATAACGAGCGACAGTGATTCGGAGACTATGGATAATAAATTGGCATCGCCTGACTCGAGATTCTCCCCGAGTGTCGGCTCCGTGTCCCCTCAGTTTATAACGCTGTCGCCATCCGAAGGGCACACTCTTTCTTCCGACTATCCGGACATACAAGCTACATCTCCTTTGGAAGCTTCCGTACCATCGCCTCATCCAGCTATTCAGATCGAACCGATAGCACAAGCAATTATTACACCGCAAATTCATACGCACGCCACTGTGGAAACTGTTCACCAAACAGTATTAACATCCAACGATATGATTGTACAAACACAATACACCAGAACAACAACCACATTACCAAACGCTACAGTATTACCTCAAGAGAGTACTGTTCAGATAACTGAAATTACAGATCCTCCATCCGTTGTGAGCGATTCTAGTATTACACAGAATATCATCAACACGCCAATAAGTTCTCCAGGCGGTGCAAGTCTGCAAACCGTTCCAAGCCCGCAAGTGTCGCCGTCGTTCTCCTCCACCGGTGTACAAACTGCAAACAACGAGTCGCAGGCAAACATTCAGATGACAAAGTTGACTAAATCAAAATCTCCAAGGGCGCCGAAATCTCGAACAAAAGGAATTAAAACACACATTGTGAAAAATACGGTCCAGTCGCAAAACGGTCATCCTAGATTTCAACCGATGCAAAATAATACTCCGGTTATACAATTGCAACAGACTCAAAGACCAAGCGCACCGACAGTAATATTGCAGCAAGTTGCGTCCCCTGGTATTATGTCCGCGTACGTTGAAACATTGCAACAACAGTCTGGACAGAATCTTCAGTATGTAACGACAATTGGTGGCCAACACGAAGCTGCATTTAAACCTCAGTTCATTACAACCAATCACTTAGTTCCTGGCGCATATATACAAGCGCCATCTGATAATTTATTAACGCTGCAAAACGGAGGTATTTCGATATTACCGGGTGTACAAATCGCCCAAACGCAACCGACAGTTCTTGGAACGATTATACAGCAACAACCTAGTGCAATTCAATGCGGAGTTATATCATCCGAGCAACTATTGCTAAGCTCAACACCGACATTAGAAATGTTCACTGACTCAACGGGCAGTATGTTTCTTTCGAATCAACCGATGTATTATGGTTTGGAAACCATTGTGAGCAACACGGTAATGTCTTCCAGTCAGTTTATGGCTGGCACGGTACCACAGGTGTTAGCAAGCAGTTACCAGACGACAACGCAAGTTTTTCAAGCTTCCAAGCTTATGGAACCTATCGTAGACGTTCAGGCTGTTCCAGGTGTTCCCACTGTAGCGGCAGTGCAGACTGTACAGAATGTACCTGGGGTACCTAACGTTACCAACGTGTCCAGTGTTCCGAATGTATCCAATATAGGTAACATGCCTAATGTACCTAATGTCTCGAACGTACCCACTATACCAACTATACCCACTGTACCCTCTGTATCCAATGTATCCAATATAGCGAGCATAACGAATATACCCAGCGTACCCAATCTACCAACAATATCCAATGTACCCAGTGTACCCAGTATACCTACCGCATCCAGCGTACCAAACATACCTAGTGCATCCAGCATACCTAGCATACCTAATGTACCTAGTATCTCTAACATGCCGACTATACCTAATCCAGCTGGTTTAGCTAGCGCAGCTAACGTACCTAACATACCGACAGTCCCGGTTCAAAATGTATCCAACGTTTCTACCCTGTCACCCAGTGTACAATCTGTAGGGAATATCCCTAACATGCCTACGGTGCCCAGTGGATACGTAGTAGTAAATCAGTCAACGCCTGTAGCAGAATCTATCGTAACACCGCAAATTAATATATCTGCAACACCTGACAGCAGAAGCTTCGCATCAGCCACGTGTAACACCATATTGCCTGTGTCGTGTCAAAATGTCGCCGAGTCTATGACATCGATACAACTACCAGATACATGCACATCAGAGCCACAAGCTGTAACGAGAGTTACACCGTCGCCAAAGTTGTTGCAAAACTCTATACCAACGATACCGAGGGTAGCTGTACGCCCGAGCCCAGTTTCTCATTCAATCGCGCAGCTAAATAATGGACCATGGAAACTTACAGAATCACTGTTTGGTTCGGAACAGATTATGAACAATAGCGTCCAACCATACTTCGACTCGAAACATGTATCAGAGAATACCAGTATGATAAAGTCTAGCATATCATCTAAAATACTCCCATTACCTAATCACTGTATAACTCAAAGGGATATAATTGTAAATAAGTTAAATCATGATGTAAATAATGTGCATAATAACTATAGTAGTATTGTACCGAATTCTAACAATATTAATGTAAGTACAAATAATAATCCAGTTATCGCTAACTCGGCTATACAAAATAAAATCACGATGTCTACGAGCAATGTACCAACGAGTCGACCGATGAATAGAGTATTACCGATGCAAGCTGTTATTCCGAAACAAGATACGACTAAAGCCACGCAAAAGACGGAGATCATTATAGAAGAGCCAAGGAAACCAGTGATGAAACCAGCAGAGCCGGAACTCGAACAAAAGCTTACGGAATCGAAAAAGGAGATCGTCGAAACCATAGTGCCGGCGGTAAGGAAACCCGAAACAACCATAAGCAACATAAACGACACGCTGAAACTGAACACCGAAGCTATCGAAAAAGTGAAAGAAAACTTCAAGTTGGAATTGGACAAAGAAAAATTGCAAAACGCCTCGTTGAAAATAGTATTACAGAAACAGCTGCAAGATGGCTCTTATAAAATTACACACAATATGAAGGCGGTGGCGCAAAATAAAAAGACTCCGCAAGTAACGTCTGTTGAAATTCTGCCGTCGAAACAAGTACCTCAGATAGCCTCTTTGCAATTGTTACCGATAAAGACGTTTACGTTGAAGACAAACAAGATCGACGAAAAGGTTAAACCTATCGATAATAAATTCAACTTGTTGAAAAACAAGACTCCGCCAGTTGCTGTTAAGAAGCCGAGGATCGTTAGCAAATCGATTAAATCTGTTTCACCGAACCTGCAAACTACAACACATACGCAAAAGAACTGTACGAGAGGGCCGACTTTAATGTACGAAATAAAGTCGCAGGATGGATTTAGTCATACCGCTTCCTCGATGGCTGAAGTATGGGAGACTGTGTTTCAAGCTGTTCAGAGTGCCAGAAAAGCTCACAATTTACCTCCGTTACCTCATAATTCGATCAGTGAAAATCTGGGCTTGGAAAACAATGCAACGGTATACTTGGTGGAACAACTACCGAACGTGAACAAGTGCAGTAAATACAAACCCAGGTTCCATAATCTGGCACCGCCTAAAGCCGGTGAAACGGAAAACGATTTACCAAAGGCGTGCGACAATGGCGCTGCACGCGCGGAACCGTTCAAAGGAAGAAAAGTTCACGATATGTTTAGTTGGCTCGCGTCCAGACACAGGCAGCAACCAAAAATGATCGCCATTTCTGAAGCAGAGTCCAGGTAATAATCGTGAAACGGTATAAAATTACCTAGAGGTTAAATAACTTTACTTTTTCGTTTCGCAGACGAGTGGCGAGCACGAATCTGCCAATGGCGATGCGTTTTAGAATACTTAAAGAAACATCGAAAGAATCGGTTGGAGTATATCACTCTCACATACACGGTAGAGGTCTGTTTTGTTTAAGAGATATCGAAGCTGGAGAGATGGTTATCGAGTATGCTGGTGAGGTACGTCAAATAGCGAAAAGAAATTTTAACTCAAAATGGCCGAACGCCCTGTCTAACGTAGTTACATATTGTCTAAATATTTCCAGGTAATTCGAGCCTCTTTGACAGACAAACGAGAAAAGTACTATGATAGTAAAAATATAGGGTGTTATATGTTTAAAATCGACGACCATTTAGTCGTCGATGCTACAATGAAGGGAAATGCAGCGAGATTTATTAACCACTCATGCGAGGTATCTATCTCTACAGGGTGTTCCCACGCAACTAGAACTTGTGCACATAAATGCATAAAATTAGTTTCATATTACGCATCCTCTGATACCATTTAATTTTTACTTATAACATATTCTTCTATTCCCAACCGTTTCGGAGTTACAGCCTGTTCCAGTTGCATGGAACAACCTGTATAATCGTTTCTTTGTTATTCACGTATTTGTAACGATTAAATTTCTGCGATATGATAGTTATATATTTAACTGAAATTCATCAACTATTTTCTAAATGAGTCCATAACATGCGCATTCTGTTTCAGCCAAACTGTTACTCGCGAGTGGTGGACATTCTAGGTAAGAAGCACATTTTAATTTTCGCTCTTCGTCGCATTACTCAAGGGGAAGAGTTAACGTATGACTACAAATTTCCCTTCGAGGATATCAAGATTCCATGTACCTGCGGTTCCCGCAGATGTCGTAAATACCTCAATTGAGACTACGTATACAGCTACCGTAAGCAGCCAACAGGTCATCAAAAACATATGTGCTATAATTACGCGTGCTTTGGAATAGGATTCATTTTATTGAACGTTATTCATTTAATCATCAAACTATTTTCAGAGATTGCAGCTTTTTATTACTATAAAGGAAATAGATATACATTTAAAATATTAGAAGGCCAGATATAGTACACGAAACATCGCGTTATGACAATGTTACTTTAAACGGCTACACATCGTAGTTGATTTAAGGAGTATACTTGTAGCAATAAATGATTGAATATGTCCTGCTTTCATACCCGATGAGTTCTGCGTGTCTCGTCACGTCGGGACTCATGAAAGTGTTACTTTTATCCACGCCTGTGCTTTTACGCACGTCTTTCTAGACTCTACTTATTATCTATATTGAGGCTTAAGTGTACAAGTTATCGTCACTTTACACTAAATCTAAAGCGCCTTCAGCTTACATACATATACATATATATATATAACGTTTTTATATTCTTTATTTTGGGTTAGAATTCTAATAATTCTATATATGTATAATTGGACCAACGTGAAACGTGAAATTGAACGAAACGCATAGTATAATCGACGTGTACTTAGTGGGAAATTTACGTTTTCCACGACCGTTACTTACAGTTTTTTTTTTTTTTTTTTTTTTTTTTTACATTGTCCACGTTTATTCTATATCAAGCAAGGACTTAAAACCAAAATCATTCGGGCATCGGTCATTTTTCGGTTAAATCGCACCGAAACCTGTAAAACCGAAAAAATACCAAAATTAATACCGGTATTTTTTTGGTTTTTATCTACCGAATATGATCTTTATGTAACTTCTTAACTCATTCGAAACCGACATATTTGGAAAATTATCTTCAGTGGCCGTAAACATTTTTGCAGTTTTGTTCTGACCTACATTGCTGCACCATCGGCTGAACGTGAAATTTTGCATTACTCATAGCTTGAGTCATCATCAGTCTCGAATGTGTTGAAACGTATACATAGTATACATAATGTAGATGTAACGTTACGGATACACACGTTAATGAATACAATGTATATAAAGTTTATAAAAATTATACGAGAGATGTGAATTTTAAGGAAAGAATTGTTGCGTATGAAAATATTTATCGGTACGATGTAATTCCGGTATTTTCATACCTCTGTTTCTATGATGGTTTCCTAGACGTAACCGGAAAATATCTGTATAATACCGGTAATTTGTGTTTCGGTTTAAGTCCCTGATATTAAATATTAAAAGATCATTGCGAGTGTAACGTGTAAATTAAAAACAACCACTATTTTATGTGAATTTCAATTTTACGCGTAATGGTATAACTACGCCATTTACATGGTTTATGTAAAACGGAATTTAGTGTACAGTGCACGACTAACTTTGTGACATTTCATGTCCGCTGTAGGGCCAGATTTCAAATGTTCTTGTAAAATATGTAATTGTTAGATTAGACATTGTCTTGATGTAAGTACAGGTACCAGTTTAACTTAAGTTAATGATATAGACATTAAAGAAAAAAAGCGCATGCGCGAGAGAGTGAGAGAGTAAGAGAAAGAGAGAATGGCAAGAGGGAACAGTTTCCTAGCGTGGGATGCTGTTGGAAGGTGTACCTACTTTGGCAGACATTGATGATATTTTAAGTCTTATTGTAGTGGAGAAAGTGAAACGAAAACTTGCTTCCCGAAGTAATTAAAGTCTGTTTGTTCGTTTCAAATGGAGGATTATGTACGCGTAATATTATTTTGATATGTTTTTTTTTATAGATTGTTAAACATTGCACCCATACGTTTGTGCTTCCGCCTTGCCAATATTACAATACTAATCTCATTACTTTATTTTTATATATTTAAAGAAAGCCGCCGTGGAGAGGAAACGTTTTATTTTACAGAAACTCGATGAAGCCGCTAATTGTATAAGATAGTTTACGAAGTTTCTGTCCAAAATTTTTTACGGATTGTAAAAAAAAAAAAAAAAAAAAGAGAACAAATATCATGAAACTGATTACGTTGACGAAATGTAAAAAAGATAATTAGATCATTGTTTCAAGTAAACTTTTCTAGGGTACGAGCTAGAAAATGTTTGTGATATTTTCCCACAATGGGAGAAAATTATAAATGTTCTTTATAGGAATATATTTCAGATTTTACGGATATTACGTGTTCCGTAAAAACGACACCTTTCTGTGAAATGCAGTTTTGCCTTACCTTTAATGTACCTACGCTTTAACCCGGTGATAGATTTAGATGTACCCCGATGACTTATATTCAAACTGAAAACTGTAATTGCGTCTATGCATCGATTAAGCTATGATAAAAGTATTTTAGTGCGATTAATCAATTTCTGCCGAGGTGGTTGTCCCTTAAATTTGGTGCTCCATGGACACCGTTAAGTGCACTTTACAATGAAAAAATGGCCTAGAGTAAGAGATAGTAGATGGCAGTGGAAGAGTTTGATAATAATAAGAAATGCGTTATACGAAGAATATTGATCGCGAATTATTTAAAGAAGTAATATAAAGAATAAATGATGGCAGGAACATTATTTGAGCACGCGAGTAATGTCGGTCGTGTAAGAATTTTAATCGGCCTGGTTTGGTACAAAATGCGTACGCTGATTTGTAAAAAGTTATAAAACAAGGGAAAAATGGAAACTTGTTCTGGTCACGAGAAATTGCCATTTTTTAGGTATTTTGAATCTAAATATTATGATTACCAGTAATTAATAACTATTATTGGAAGATGAATATTGTTAATATAATGATAATTATTTTTAATCTGTAAAAAAGGTAATACGATATAAGAAAAAGGTAATTTACTTGAAAATATAATAGCAATGTTAGATATTTTATTGATATTTATTACTTACGGATGACGGTTCTAGGGTTGACGAGAAGTACTAATTAAATTAAACATAATTTAGAACTTGGTGCACACGATGGTCTAATATTGTTGAGAAAAATACGAATGTCAGCTTTTTTTTTTTATAACAAAAAAAGAAAAAAGCATCCTTTTCTCTTCTAAATGCACTGAAGTTATTGTTACACGTCTGATCAATGTCACCACAAATTATTTGGGATTATGAAATATATAATGCATTTAATATACTTTATATTCCCACCGCAGATTAATATCCATGGTGATTGTAACAATAGAAATATACTCTGTACCGAGTATATTTACGTATCGGTAGACAAATTAAGGACATCGTTTCTTAATTATATTTTTATCTATAAAAAAACATAAATGTTTTATACTCTGAGGAAACGTAATTCTTAGCGGCCGCGTGACAAATATACGGACGATTAAGTTTGTTATTTACACTTTTCTGAGAAACATGAATGAATTTGTCGAACGCTTTCTGAAACATACTCTGTATCTTTTAAATATGATTCCCTAACTCGCGGAGTCTGTACAAGCTCCTTAGTATTACGCATTCAGCCTCCATTATTATCATTATTATTATTACAATTAATTATAATCTACACAAGAAGATAGCATAATACATCACCACTCATATTTTGCACAGTTTGTTTACTATACCCATCAGCACCTTTTTAAAAAAAAGTGATTCGTGTGAGAAAAAAAAAAAAAGGGAAAAAAGTGACGTTAGAAAAAAATATACAAGTATAATCTCCAAAACTCGAATATGTATATGTATACTTTGCCTCGAGATAAAGTTGCTTTAGGTAATGGAAGTGTTGGACATCTGCTAGTTTGGTGTGATAATGAAATGAGTGGTTAAGTTATTCATGGAACTGTACGGTGCCCGTTATTACTTTTTACGACAATTTCAGAGCATCGCAGCGTTGCATCCTCTTGCGAGCAAGAGTTTCATCTCTTCGTGTCCTTTGGATTTCTTCGTTTTTATTCGTACAATTAAGGAATTAACAATTGAAATGTAAAACGCTTTTTAAAACATATATAAACAAAGGAATACCACTATTCAAAATATTGTACTTGTTTAAAGAAGAAGAAAAATGGAAAGAAAGATAAATAATACTATTGATAAATTTAAAGTGAAGAAAAAAAAAAAAAAAGAAACGAAAGGAAAATTGAAAAAATTGTCTGTGATTATCAGTCATAATAATCTTTAGGTCGACATATTTTTTAGAGAATATTTTTTAGCAAATTACAAAATTTATGATATACCCCTATTATTGATATGATATTGGATCAGACACGCTATGCATAATATTAAAAATAAAATTGAAACTGTAAAAGTTGCTAACTGTTTAATAGAATTATAAATAGTTGAGATCGATGGCTGTTGTAAAATATTCAGTGTTTGGACAAATAATTATTGAAACTATTTATAATAACTAATATCGAGGTACGATTATACTATATTATTGTATCACGTACATACATATAGTAGCGTTTTTATCTATTCCGTTCGCATATTCATTAGAATAGAATAGACAGAGAGAAAGAGAGAATTGGTTGTAGGATCGTACAAGACGAAATCAATGATAAATGTAAAATTCAACCGAAGAGACGCTGCGGGCAAATGGGACGCGTATTTACTGTACGCGTTCAGCGTGTAAAGTGTCGTTATAAATCTATCTACTTATTGTAGGGAACTTATAAAGTAACCATAATATTTACATTAACCAGATGATATACGTACCACATAGAAAACACATAACCGCTTTCATTTCAAACATCACACGTTACATGTACATATACATATATACAAGGTGTTCGGTCAATCCTGGAAAAAATTTTAATGGCAGATTCTAGAGGTGAAAATAAGACGAAAATCATCAATATCAATTCCTTGACCAAGGCATCGTTAAAAAGTTATTAACAATTAAATTAAAAAATTTCAAAACGTTCTGGAAAAATTATTTTCGGTTGCGGGGGTCAATTACAATTATTTTTGATCATTACACATACCCCCGAAATCCTACACATTTTCGAGAAAAAATTTCTTACCGAAAATATAATCTTTCTTCCAGACCTAACCCAGACCTGACCCAAACCTAATCCAGACCTGACCCAAAACTAATCCAGACCTAACCCAGACCTGACCCAAAACTAATCCAGACCTGACCCAAAACTAATCCAGACCTAACCCAGACCTGACCCAAACCTAATCCAGACCTAACCCAGACCTGACCCAAAACTAATCCAGACCTAACCCAGACCTGACCCAAAACTAATCCAGACCTAACCCAGACCTGACCCAAAACTAATCCAGACCTAACCCAGACCTGACCCAAAACTAATCCAGACCTAACCCAGACCTGACCCAAACCTAATCCAGACCTAACCCAGACCTGACCCAAAACTAATCCAGACCTGACCCAAAACTAATCCAGACCTAACCCAAAACTAATCCAGACCTAACCCAGACCTGACCCAAAACTAATCCAGACCTAACTCAGACCTGACCCAAAACTAATCCAGACCTGACCCAAACCTTTTTTTTTTGGGTCAGGTCTGGATTAGGTCTGGATTAGTTTTGGGTCAGGTCTGGGTTAGGTCTGGATTAGGTTTGGGTCA